TATAATTTACAAGACTCGCAATTAATAGATCTAAATAGAGCATGTTAAGGATAATATCACGATTTTGTGGCAATTTCTTTCACGAATATCCGACTTTACTAGAAATTCAATATTAGACAATATTCTTAATATAATTTAAAAAAAAATGTAATGTGAGATGTTGGATGTAAAAGCTGACGAAATGATAGATATATTCTACAATATTATTTGTAACCAACGAAAATAAAATATTTGTTACTAATTTTTTACATACTAGAAACAAGGAAAATAAATTTAGAATGCATATGATTTCAGTTTTGTATCACATTTTTACTCGAAAAGGATTTTACTTCTTTTTTTTATTTTCAAGAAACTGTTGAATTTCAATAGAATATGATATAGAACAATAAATTGCTCACAAAATTCTTAAAATTTAGCTAACTGATTCACATTCGCTGTTTTTTTATTAACTATTTTTTTCCTCATGCCTATGTTACAAATTAAATAAATGACTATTAGTGGATATTGAATAGCTTTTCTGGTAGTGTCTTTTTTATCATCAAGATATTGTCATTATAAGTGCTGATTCCAATTGTAAAATTACTATAATATCAATATCCAAATATGATGTTACAAAACAATTCTTAATGACAAAATGAAAGGTGCTTGGATGTGTGACAGATTAGCTATACAGTTATCACTAACTGAAGAGGCAGTGCTCGGTGGCGCGTTCCAAATCCCAGTTATACGAAGACAGAGCAACTCTCGCACTGTGCTCTTCGATTCCCATATCTGTTAATCGTCTTATTTTGTCATCTAAATCAGGTATTTTTGCTGGTCCTAGAATTAATATATATCATATATTTTAACATATAATATGAATACGCGTGAATCTATAAATATGAAAAACATTACGTACCACCTGCATATACAAATGTCCAATGTGTGGCAGTTTGACGAAACATTTCTGGATGTTCTTTATATTGTTTAGCGACTACTGCATCTTGAGGGTCATCTGGCTCCGCTGCAGATAACAACGCTTGTAGTGACAGCAATACTGTGCGCAAAGTCATTGCAGCAGCCCTTAGATATGGAAATGAAGATGAAATTAGAGGGAGAGGCAGCCTACTTTCTGTTTTCTTTAATTTTATAAAGTTGCAAGAACAAAATAAAAATACTTAGAGAGAGTAGAAGGATATTATCATTTTCAAGTGATAAGAATAATTTATAGTAAAAATGAGCGTGATATAAAGCTATTTTGTATTGCGACAATTATACTATAAGAGTAAAATAAAAAATACTACAAATAATATTTCGGTTAAAATATAAAATGTTTTCAAATACATACATGTTTGCTGATACATACCACTGATCTTTCAGAATATCCAAACAAATGGCACCGGTAACAGAGGATATATTAGGATGCCATATTTTTGTTATAAAACGTACCTGTAAAATAAAATTTTTATTTATGTAAGGCAAAGTATTAACAATTAATTGTCAAGCAATATATCGCGCTTAAAGAAAATATCGACTTACAAATTACTTACTTTGGGAGGATTGAAAGGATATGTCTCGGGTACATTAATCTCGAGTACAAAATTGCCCCCCTCATATGGTGTGTCTGGCGGACCAGCAATTTCACCTTTTAATTCGGTAAGACTATCATTGACCAATTCAACCTTAATCGCACATTTGGCTACCTGTTGATAACAAATAAATAAAACATTAGAGAATAGAATTTGGACGTAGAATTTTCGCAAAATAAACATACTTACATATAAATAAACATATAAACAGAACTGTAAATAGCTCATAAAATGTATTGTAAAATTATATGGATTTGTTCAAGTTTTATATAAAGATTCATAACTTACATAAATTTACACAATTATAGAAGATATATAACAAAGCCATTAATCGGTAAAATGAATAGAAGCAAGAAGAAAAGGAAAGGTTACACGTTTCAGAGATATAGAAACAACTGAAGGCAGAAGAGGGACATGTCGGATGATAACAACAGCGACGCAATGTTTCCTGGCAAATTCGATACGGGCGGTACTTATTTCCAAATCATTTGTTTTGCAGTGGAATGGTATACCAGTTACACAATCATGGATAAGGGTCTGCGAGGCAAGCAAACACATTGCTAAATTATGCTTCCTCATAAAATTCGTGTGTGGTACAACGTCATTCGTTCGCAATAATTGGTAAACATGTAATCAACATAACCTATGACCAAAGAGAGATAAGGAGAATCTCTACCGCTTCGTAACGTTATAAATCACAAAACTAACATGGCATATCAGTTATGATGCTCTGGCGTGATTCAGCCGTCTAAAGACATGTGAAAGCATCTTGGCGCACCGGACGTCACAGTGAATACACAATGAGCAACTTGAAAAAGTGCAAGGCTGCACATGGATCCTGCTGCCAAGATCCTGGACGTCGCAGTGAGTATATTTAATATCTACATCTGCACGCTCGAATTAAATCGTCGACGTATAACGCGAAGGTGACGCTAATTATCCTCTTTGTACGTTGGTGCACGTCGTCGTCCAAAAATACACGCCGCTCGTTAAAGCAAAATGTGCGAGAGAAGGTGAAAATATAATGCAACAAATATATTAAAAAAAAAAAAGAAAAGGTCAACGATAGAAACACAGCCAAGGTTCTCGAGTGGGCGATACGTAAGATACGTCCTCCGCTCACGTCGTACATCAGCGAAAATAAATGAACGCATAGGTGACAGTTGACCGAACGATACACAACAGGTGATCGGGCTTTGTTCGGGCGAGATTCGTTCGGCGGCCGGATCGCACGTAGCGGGTGAGCGAATTCACGCTGACCGCGGGATGATCTCGCACCGGGTCGCATCTCGCCGAGAGGAACGGGACTCCACTCGGGGTGCCCCCTTCGCAACGCGGCCAGCGTTCATTCGCTCGCTCGCTCGCTCACTCACCTCCTCGCTCTTTATAACCTCTTTGAATTCCCGTTTGATTCGCTGCGCCGCGATGTTCGCCATGGCTCCGGAATCGTCAGTATGGTTAGCAGCACGCTGTCATTGTCGCACGGATGAATGAACGTTAGAGGCACGTCGTGCACGTCGCGAATCGCCGTGGATCGCTCTTTTTTCTACGTGAACGCGACGCACGTCCGATGCGCCCTGCGTGATTTTTCGCCCGTCACCCTGCGCGCTGCACCCGTACAGCAGTGCGGTCGGCGCCCTAACCACCCGTGGCCGTGTCCAGAGGCTCCTCGCGCTCCTCGTAACGTACACATGCAATTTACCATTCGATCACCGCCGGCGCCACATTTGATAGCAAAAGTTGACTGTCACCGGATCGCGCCCGCGCCTTTTGAATTTCGTCTAGGTTCACGTCGCGCCGCGCGACGGACGGTCTCTCTCTCTCTCTCTCGTCCCGCTCTGTCCCCCTCCGGTTAATGCGATTTAACGGCTCGGTTGCGGCGGCATAAAAGCGGCACGTGTTGACCGTGCCAGTCGAGATCTTTCAGATTGCGGTGACGGTGTTGTTTCACGTGGACGCGTTAACGTTCGGCGACGTACGAGGAGGTGCGAGCACGTGGACGACGGCCGCTCGCTGCGAGATCCCGGACAGGGAGGCATCATCGCGCGTGGCGCGCGCGCCTGCCGAGCAAAAAGTCCGATGAGTAGAAACTGGTAGCGCTGTGAACGGCGAGGCCTACCTACCGAGAGAAGACGACCGCGCGAAGACGCTCACGCATCGCTCGTTATTGATCTCCGGCGTCTTCCGTCACGAGAGAGGGAGGGAGAGAGAAAGAGTGATAGAGGTAGAGAGAGAGAGAGAGAAAGGGGGGAGGGGGCCGAGAGTGGAACGCGTCCGGTCGACATTCGACCGTCGCAATTGGTGATTTGTGCCGCCGCATAAGCCGTGATCTCTCGCGGGAAAATAAGAGATAATTGGTTCGCCTCGGTCGCGCGTGAAACGGAAAGAAGCACGCGAGAGAGAAAGAGAGGGAACCGGTCTCTCGCGATAAGGAAGCGTCGTTCGCGCGGTTGTGATACCTCGAGCCGCCCGCCGTAGGCGGAGCATACACGGCGACGTCACGTCCGGCTTGAGCGCGATCACCGATTGGCCGACCGCTCGGTGGTTTCTGTTTCAGTGATGCCCGTGTCGCAGCCAGTGCGTGCCAAGAGTTTGTTACGCGCAAACTTGGAAAACTCACGCGGCAGAGCTTTGCAGAGTAGGATGCCGAACATCAAGGTCTTCAGTGGCACCTCGCATCCCGATCTGGCGCAACGGATCGTCGATCGGCTCGGCATTGACATCGGCAAGGTTGTCACGAAGAAATTCAGCAACCTCGAGACATGGTAATGGTCGTCGTCTATTACCGGGCCCGTAACTACGTTATTATCGTTGTATCGGCGCGGAGCATAGCCGCGACCACGTGTCATTGCGCGCGTGTCACGTAATCCCCGACCGGCGGTACTCCTCGCGCTCCAACTCCGTCGCGTTTCGCGAGTTCCTCGTGCAGCGTTGCTCTCGCACAGCCCGTCGGAACATCCCCTTCGAGCGAACACGAAGCCACCCTGTCGCGCCGATTCGCTCTTCGTTGAGTTTGGAGTCGTTTTAATTCAGCGCGTCCGCGGCGTAGATCTATCTGCGCTGCAACATTTGCAGACGAGCAGCATGCGGAGTCACGTGCACCGCTAATATTAAAATTTGCCGAATCTGCGGTATATACACGTGCTCGCGTTACGGAGATCGCGGGCATGCTCGTATATGGGGAGCAGCAAGTATGCGAACGCCGAGGACATCGATAATTAGAGTTCCTTTGTTAACGTCTTTTCTCCCTGAAAATACAAAACGTGTATATTAACGAGAGGATGTTAATTCATGTCTTTTGTGCATTCGTCAGAAGTAACATCCGTTCTTGCAGCAATGATTTCTACGTCGCCGAACATCGGTTGTTTATATGTACTAATTTGATTTGTATCCTTTTTTCTTTCAATATTAACAGAAAAAGTAAAATTTCTGTGTATTTAGCGTGGAGATAGGAGAATCTGTCCGTGGAGAGGATGTGTACATCGTGCAAAGTGGAAGCGGTGAGGTGAATGACAATCTGATGGAGCTCCTGATTATGATCAACGCTTGCAAAATCGCCTCAGCATCCCGGGTAACAGCTGTTATTCCTTGTTTCCCCTACGCCAGGCAGGATAAGAAAGACAAGGTAAGAGGCAAGGGTAATATCTTGATTATCCGTTTATAGATAGATTTGTGCTCTGAGTAGTTTAACAAGATAGGTATAAGCACTAATAAGCAATCATTTTTAATTACGATGTTGTTAAGCATAAGTATACATTATTTGGAATTAATTCGTTGTATGAAATAGCGTTCAAGTATGATGCAACATTCTGATTAGATAACACTCTAATTCTATTAAATATTCTCTTGTGTGAGTTCTTATGAAACAATCTTTAAAAATTAAAATTAGGATTATTTGAAAGAGAAAAAAACATGTTATTGAGTTGATTTTTCGCACATAAATCATTTTGATGGTATTTTATAAAATATTTTTCATCAGTTATATTATTGCAAATGTATGTATACATATAATTGAAATTTTATTAACGAGTATATAACGAGTAGTTCGCAACTAAAGTTCGATATATACATGGTAAAAAGTTATTTAGAAACATCCATTATTGTATATACATCGTTTACAAAAAATGTGACAACACTTGTGCATGGAGATATAGAATTTTATTCGCGGTATTTCAACGTTATGCTTTTATACTCTGAACATATTTATAAAATCGCGCGCCTACACATAATACGTATATGCATAGAACAATATTTTCTTTCATTTCGTACAATACTTAAAAGAATATCCTGAACGCATGTATAAGAAACGCTTGATATATTACAGTAATAACGACATAAATTTTTATTACAATTTACATAACTGATGCAGCATATGTACAGTTATATATATATATATTGGTCTGTGTATGTATATTATGTATACTGACCTATATGTAACTGCATATATGTTGCAATAATAGCTGTAACATGCATCATTACTAATATATATATATCATGAATCTACCAATTAACATAATCATAATCTCTCTGTCTACTTGAATAAATAAATATTAATATATTTTTTTTTTTATGTAACCTGGTAATCAGCTTACAATTAGTTTTCAACAGGATATAGGTGTGTCTAGTGATAACGTATATAATTAATGTATTCGCTCAGAGTTTCCCGTTTTATACGGTCGTTTAATGCGACCTGAGTTAAAAGATTATCTCGAGCTGTTTGTACGGTTCATGGTAACAGAGAGAAGCATGCTTTGGAAATCTTATACAAGTAGATAACTCAGCAGATCTTCTTTCTGGACTGTGAACTGAGTTGCTTAAGAACGTTTTATATTTAACACTTCTCCAATATATATATATATATATAATATTTAAGCACACAATATATGTACATATATAAGACATATATTTTTATATCATATCATGTAAGTATGTAAATATGTGTGTGCAACGATTTTTATCTTTTCAAGATATGTTACCAGTTTCCCAAGTTTCGTTTCTCGATGTTTATCTTACACTTGTAAGGTTCGATAGTAAAGACTGACGTGATAAGGGAAAGGTATTGACTCGAAGAAGAAGAAGAAGAAGAAGAAACTATATTTCCTTAATGTACTATCTTCGCAGGGCGGTGATGGTGGGGACAAGTCAGACTCCACTAAAAATCAGATTGTCATGAAGTCGAACGAGTGGAAATTCAGGGTAACTTGCGGCGGTCCTTTTATCTCTCGCTCTATTCTTTATCTCTCATAGCTTTGTAATCGACCGACGGAGTAATATCATTCTTGGAACGCAAAACTTGATATCATCGTCATTTAAAAAAAAAAAAAAGAAAGAAAGAAAAAGAACTTGTGCTTGTACTCTTCCGGCTTTATGTCATTGGGCTGCACCAGATAGTACACTTGTATGTCTTACAGGAATTTCACCATTCGCTGATTATTGCGACATCCTCTCTTGTACTTCTCAGGATATGTTTGTATGTTTTACTTCTGACAAAATTCTAACTAACGAACGTACTAATAATAATAGTATGAGAAAAGTGGGCATCGCGTGTCATGTGGTCCCGTAGTTACTATTATTATCAATTATCAAGTTGGGAGTTTTATAGAATAATTGTCTTAAGCTTTGCGGTTGTAATCCGGAATATACAGATTATATTGATTGATGTCTCTGCTTACGACTGCAAAGTATCAAGTGATATACTAAGGAAAGTATTGAGGGGAGACAGTTTTTATATAAATGATATACGACTACAAAATTTAACTGGATATATTAAATACGTAAAGGATACTGCTTTTCTTAAATCGTTTGTCATGAAGCAAGTGGTGAAACTAATATAGTCGAAGAAGGAGAATATATACAGATGCAGAAATAATATTATCATTGAGAAATAAGATTTGCAAGCGGTGCATGAATGATACGTGAAATGTGCAATAACATTGCGAAATATTATACATTGCAAAGTCATCTCGAAATCATGTTTATATAATTTAACTATATCATTTATATAACCATCTAAATCTTGTACAGATCAGGCATGAGTTCGACCTCTAGAGAAGCTGCGTCAAATCAGATTTACCTCGCATCGAAGTTTCATTTCGAAGCAAACACTCATAACATTGCTTTTAGTATCAACGTATACGTATATCACTTTTAAATACAGACGAAAATATAGATAATTATTAAATTACGTACATAGTTATAATTTTTAACGGTTTTATCGTTATCACAACGCAATTGTGAGATGTTTGTAATGAAACAAATAGCAAATGTTTTAGATATCGGAGCACTACAAATGCATATATCCAAGCATGTTGTTCAATAATAACATAGGGTTATCAGTGGGTTAGATAACCCAGACGAGTCTTGCAAAACTTGTGCTAGATTTCTTTAAGGGGGGTCTTATGCATATTTTTATTGCCAGAGCCATTATAATTACATTGTTAATTAATTTTATTCAATTACTTTTTTTTACATCAAATATGTTGTACATATAATTATTTTTTTATATTTTATACGTTATAATTCATTGAAAAATTGTTTTAAAATATATTTATATTTGCATGGTTATCATATGTTTATATATTTACAGCAAAAATGGGCACCTATAATAATTGTAATTGGGTTACTGCATGAAAATAATGTACAAAATAAGACTAAAAATTCTATACAACTCTCTGATTAGACAGTTATCGGATCTCCCGCATTCTTTAGATATATTCTTAGATCATATCGTAAAGTGAAAATATGTACGAGAGATATATATTATTGGCTATAATGTTTATTAAAAAGAATTTGCAACCACGTATCCTTCTAAGTTTCTGAATAGTTGGATATTTTCAGGATATTCTGCCCGTCCTGTCTACAGTGAGTATAATAGCAACGAGATTGTCGAGTGAAGCGTTTGCAATGATAACTCGATGAACCATTCGATCCGTAATATTATTTTGGAATCTAGATGAGAATTTTCTTTGTAGGACTAACCAAACTTATAATATCGTTGCTATACAGCACAGTGGTATCCCCGTGAATGAGTGAATGAATGAGACATTTGGTAAAAACGTATTGATATACGAATGAGAGGGCAAAATATTAATATAATAGCAGTACATTGTTGGCAATTAGTATAGTGGGGTACGCACATGTATGTTCATATTGGGTACTAATTATTTGAAGCTTAAAGCTCGGTGTTATTGTCCAAGTGCACTAATCAAATATTGCCTATTATCCTATTAATGCTGTTAGTGCTTAAACAATATAGGAATGTCAATGTGTTATTTTAGTAATAATGTCTTGTCGATACACAGTATACAATTGTGGGGAGATCCTATTAAAACAATTATTAATTAAGCTTTTTGTAAACCTTACACTCAGTACAAGTACTGGTTTACTAAGAATATTCCATCATTTGCACAATGCATTTCTTTGCGTTAGACAATGTACTAATATATAAATATACTTCAATTTGCAAAACTCTGTGAATTCTCTCTCGCATAATTTCGCACATATAATGTTAGAAATGCACTTACGCGTGACGTTGACATATATCTGTTTAGTAGAGTTTACCTTTAAATTTTTACGTTACGTACTTATGCGTTATTTATTACCAACACGTTTGCCCTCTTGTTCATCTCATATCATCCTTTGCTATTACGAGGGCAAAGGACTGAGATGCATTGTGTTTTCCGTTTTGCGTTCGTAATTTTAGATATTTTGCTTCACTTACAGTTGTCATTGAGAGTCTAACTGGGGTGCATTTGCAACGTTGTTTTCTCTTGTCGAAATATATTCTGTAAATATATGTACTTTTTGAAGTAATATACTTTAATATATATATGGCCATTATATATATATTTTGTCCCCTCTGATAAAAAGACGGAATCTCTTTTGACAGTTTAATTAATGTAATATTTGGTAAAACTCACTTTAAAAAAAGAAACCAGGCAGTAAAAATAAATGGTATACCGTTCGAAAATTTTGTTTTCAAAACTTAACAAACGTACTGGCTTGTAACTTTCGATTCTTTATAACAACGTATGTTTTCGGCATGTTTTTGAAGGATTTTAACAGCAATTTCTTTAAATTGCAGGATCATTTCCAGTTGCAAATGGACTTGAGGGACTCGTCTGAATTCTCAGAATTGATCCGTTAAAATGTATTTTACAGAGCCGCGCGCCCATCTCCGCAAAACTGGTGGCGAATATGCTCTCCGTGGCGGGTGCCGACCACATTATCACGATGGACTTGCATGCTAGTCAAATACAAGGATTCTTTGATATCCCTGTCGACAATTTATTCGCCGAGCCAGCTGTCCTCAAGTGGATTAAGGAAAATATCGTTGAATGGCGAAACAGTATTATCGTTTCTCCCGATGCAGGTGGTGCCAAAAGGTACGTAGACAGAGGATGGAAATAGCCTCTGCATAAAGGCATCACAATGATAAATTTTCCTTTTTCTTCTTATAGAGTAACATCCATCGCTGACCGATTAAACGTTGAGTTCGCGCTTATACACAAGGAAAGGAAGAAGGCGAACGAAGTCGCTAGTATGGTATTAGTCGGAGACGTCAAAGATCGAGTTGCCATCCTTGTAGACGATATGGCCGATACTTGCGGCACTATCTGTCATGCAGCCGAGAAATTGCTGGAGGCTGGTGCAACGAAGGTCTATGCCATACTTACCCATGGTATATTCAGCGGCCCGGCAATTAGTAGAATCAATAACGCCTGCTTCGAGGCTGTAGTAGTGACTAATACTATCCCCCAGGATGGTCATATGAAAGACTGTCCAAAGATTCAGGTGACTATACTTCGAACATTTACATTCCTATCACGATCACGATGACGGTAATGATAATATCGTGGATAGTGTTAAGTGCAATATGGAATTAAATGTAACCATCTTCTCTCATCTTCTTTCTTTCAGTGTATCGACGTCTCCATGATGTTTGCTGAGGCTGTGAGGCGGACTCATAACGGTGAATCTGTATCGTACCTGTTTTCGAACGTACCCTATTAGAAGAAAATCTTCCGTAAGATTTTAAGTCATGTAAGAAGAATATACTCTTTTTACATTTGTTTATTGTTATTGATAGTTAAAAACTATTTTGTGCTCGAACAGATACATTGTACGTATCCTTACTCGAAATTGAGATCTATACTTCCCTTATTTTTTCGTGAACTTCCACAGCAAGTACGGAAGTAATTGGAATTCTGATGGATTTTTAGACGAATTGGCGATACACACACACACACACAAACACACACACACACACATATATATATATATATATAAATAAACATACATGCATACAACATATGCATGCATACATATACATACATATATATACATGCATACATACATACATACATACATTTTATATATATATATATA